TGTGCCAAGAGGAAGTGGATTGGTGGGGCAGGTTCGTCTATAGGAAAAGGGCCAGGTATTAATGATTAAAATAGATGGGCTTTTCTAGGGGTTAAGTATAGAATGTAAATCAATCTGGAGCATTTCTTTCATGAAGCCTGAAGAACATGACAATCTCTGCTTGGTCACCACGGGTATAAAGAGCGTGGGGGAGTGTGTGCTATAGGCTGTGGGAACTTCAGACAGCTCAAGCATAAATGCACACAGATTCTTTCACTGTGAAGAAGAGCCTTCCAATCTCATCAGTTCTCAGGACATCCATCCAGCCCCTGTTGCCCTCACAGTGAGTTGACATCTTGCTCTTCCTGGAGAGCTCACAGGTCAACTCCTGCCCAGCTGAGGGTGATTTGGGTGTAAATGTGTGACTGGGACATCCAGCCACCAGTGAGAGGAATGTGGAAGTTTGGGGAGAAGCTGGTTTGCAGTAAGATGAGGAATTCATGTTTAAGAGTTTGGAATTTGAGGTACAGATTCAAAGAGTTGGCAGCCTCTTAAGTGAGGGATGCTGTGGAGAACACATTAAAAATTAGTAACGTCAATCAAAGCTGCAGGAGGACTCCAGATGTGTCCATCTGTATCTAAGGTCATTTACACTTGAGACCAGCTCCACTCGTCTCCCAGAGGTGCCACCTTCTCTGAAAGGAGCTTTCAAGCTGGGGGCGGTGGCTCACTTGATGATGTCATGGCAGATGCACCTTGTGAGAATAAACTGTCCCAAGGTTTACTTCCTTGGCCCTGCTCATAAAGGCCCTCTGGATCCTCTGCATCTGCTGTCACCCTGCTATGGGCACCCACACCCTGTGCTGTGTGGCCCTGTGTGTCCTAGTACCAAGTGAGTCTCAGAATATTCAGCTTCATCCTGCTGGGCCCCCCTAATGATAACTCTGTATATTTTCCTTATTCTGTCCCCCAGTTTTTTCTTTTTTTACAGATCACACAGATGCTGGGGTCATCCAGTCACCCAGGCATGAGGTGACAGAGAAAAGACAAGCTGTAACGCTGAGATGTGAGCCCATATCAGGCCACACTCATCTTTTCTGGTACAGACAGACTGCGGGGCAGGAGCCGGAGTTTCTCATTTATTTCAGCAGCAGATCTGTTGTAGATGACAAGGGAATGCCCAAGGACCGGTTCTCAGCTGAGATGCCCAGTGCCTCCTCCTCCACTCTCAAGATCCAACCCACGGAACCCAAGGACTCAGCTATGTACCTCTGTGCCAGCAGCCCAACCACAGCACTGCAGGATGGTCCTCTGCAGGTGCAGAAACCCTGGTACTTTTCCTTCTCCCTCCAGCCCCAGCAGATCTGAGAAAAATCTACCCGGCCCCTCCCTCTACATAAGGACCAAATCAACCTGGGACGTGACAAAGACAGAATGAAAAGGTGTCAACCCTGAAATCTTGGGCAGGAAATATTGCTGGAGGGATCCCAGTAGGTTGGAGGGAAGCCATGAAAACCGTCTGTGGGCTCAAAGCTCACATGTCAGGGAAAACTTTAGTACCCACAGGGTTGGCAGCCTTCCTTCCTGCATGTGCACCCCAGGTAGGTGTGGGGGACCCTAACAAGGGCTGTGTCTCCCCCTCCACTCTGCCTCTTCATTCTCTCCTCATCCCAACTGTAACAGGTCCCTCCTCCCCATGGGTTCTCTTGATTTTTGTTTTGTTTTGTTTTACTTTCTTTTTTAAAATTTATTCTAATTAGTTATATATGACAGCAGAATGCAATTCAATGCATATTACACATGTAGAGCACAATTTTTCATGTCTCTGGTTGAACACAAAGTAGAGTCACACCATTTGTGTCTTTATACATGTACTTAGGGTAATGATGTTCATCTCATTCCACCATCTTTCCTACCCCCTGCCCCATCCCTTCTGCTCCTTCCCTTTTGCCCTATCTAAAGTTTGTCTACTCCTCCCATGCCCCACCCCCAAGTCCCTATTATGAATCGGCATCCTTATATCAGAGAAGAAGTTTGGCATTTGGTTTTGGGGATTGGCTTACTTCATTATATTCTCCAACTCAATCCATTTACCTGAAAATGCAATGATTTTATTCTCTTTTAATGCTGAGTAATATTCCACTGTGTATATATACAATATTTTTTTTATCCATTCATCTACTGAATGTTATCTAGGCTAGATCCACAATTTAGCTATTGCAAATTGTGCTGCTATAAACATTGATGTGGCTGTGTCCCTGTAGTATGCTGTTTTTAAAGTTCTTTGGGTATAAACTGAGGAGTGGGATAGCTGGGTCAAATGGTGTTTCCATTCTCAGTTTTCCAAGGATTCTCCATACTGATTTCCAGATTGGTTGCACCAATTTGCAGTCCCACAAACAATGTAAGAGTGTGCCCTTTTTCCCCACATCCTTGCCAACACTTATTGTTGTTTGTTTTCTTAATAGCTGCCATTCTGACTGGAGTGAGGTGAAATCTTAGAGTAGTTTTGATTTGTATTTCTCTAATTGCTAGAGATGTTGAATGTTTTTTCATATCTTTGTTGATTGATTGTATATCATCTTCTGAGAAGGGTCTGTTGAGTTCCTTGGCCGGTTTATTGATTGGATTATTTGTGTTTTTTTGTTTGTTTGTTTTAAGATTTTTGAGTACTTTATATATCCTAGAGATTAGTGCTCTATCTGATGTGCATGAGGTAAAAATTTGCTCCCATTCTGTAGGCTCTCTATTCACCTCATTGATTGTTTCTTTTGCTGAGAAGAAGCTTTTGAGTTTGAATCCATCCCATTTATTGATTCTTGATTTTAATTCTTGTACTATAGGAGTCTTATTAAGGAAGTAGGGACCTAATCCAACATGATGGAGATTTGGACCTACTTTTTCTTCTATTAGGTGCAAGGTTTCTGGTTTAATTCCTAGGCCCTTGATCCACTTTGAGTTGAGTTTTGTGCATGGTGAGAGAGATGGGGTTTAATTTTATTTTGTTGCATATGGATTTCCAGTTTTCCCAGCACCATTTGTTGAAGAGGCTATCTTTTCTCCAATATATGTTTTTGCTGCCTTTGTGAAATATAAGATAATTCTATTTATGTGGGTTAGTCTCTGTGTCCTCTATTCTGTACCATTGGTCTACAAGTGTATTTTGGTTCCAATACCATGCTGTTTTTGTTACTATTACTCTGTAGTATAGTTTAAGATCTTATATAGTAATGCCTCTGGTTTCACTCTTCTTGCTGAGGATTGCTTTAACTATTCTGGGTCTCCTATTTTTCCAGATGAATTTCATGAATGCTTTTTCTATTTCTATGTGGAATGTCATTGGGATTTTGATTGGAATTGCATAAATCTGTATAGTGCTTTTGGTAGTATAGTAGTTTTTTTTTTGATTTTTAAAGAAAGCTCTTTACTGTGATTTTGGACATTTCTTTCTTAGTACTAATTTTGAATTAACATTTCTGAAGGGATTTTTCAAGACACTTAGATTTTTCAAGACACTTATCAATGCATGATAAAGCATGCATTGTAGCATTTTAGCTGTGTTCTACCAGTCCTGAAATGCAGGGATCTATTTGTGTCTGTCCTGCCTGAGCTGAGCCCACCACTGCCTGAAGGCTCCTGTAGACTTGGAATGCTGAGAGCAATTCTCTGATGGTGAGCGGCTTCCCCGGGAACAGTCAATATGGAGCCCCCCTGGAACCTCTCAGATCCTGCAGGTCTATCCAGTCTTTGCCCTTTTCCTACTGGATGCTGTGCTCTTAAAAACAGTTTCTGATGTCTCTGAGTGACTCTCCAATAGGGTCATTAGCTTTTGATGAGGCCGATTCTTGGACACATAAGAAGGAATTCAATAATACTCCTTTTAAAAAAAATATGATACAGAAGTCTAATTCTTGCTCACATAGAAAAGATGTGTCCTACATAATTGGTGTGAATATGTCTACAACCAGAGATATGAAAAATGTGCTCTATATGTGTAATAAGGTTTGTAATGCATTCTGCTGTCATATATAAATTTAAAAAAAATAATTAAAAAAAAAGAAAAGGTGTGTCCTTTGATCATCACACTACATTATTATATTTATTCACTAATAATGTCCAGTAGATGTATCTGTAATTAGTAAAAAAACTCGTAACATCTCAGCTTGCTCAATTCAGATGTGGAGAATGTATTCTGAATGAGGCAGCCGCACGCTCTGGGTCCCCCATGATACACAGAGCTGCTTATCTGGACCTTTTCTGAGATCCCAGTGATTACAACCTCCCTGTTACCTGGTAGGAGAGTAAGAACAAATACAAGGTTGTATCTGCTTTGGGTCTTTCGGTCAGTGAACAAATACTCATTGAAAGCCTGACCTGGGGTATTTTCAGGGGAGAATTTCTATTTCCAAGTTTCTCCACAAAATCAAAGAGAGACAACCACGAGTTACAGGGAGCTCCTTGACAGAAGTGATTTAGCGCCTGTGATGGCATGTGACAGAACAACCAGCCAGGCACTTTCTGCTGAAGAAAAACGTAATGAAAAGGTTTCTCGAGGCAAAGGGAATTAGACCAGGTACACAGAAGAATACAATCAGCACAATTATTGAAAATCTTAGAGGATGGCTGAAGAACGCTGTCACGGGGAATTTAAATCTGCTAAGGGAACAGATGAGACTCAACAGTGGTTGGAAGTTCAGCTTCCTTCTAACCTTTGGAGTAGGAATAAAGGAAGAATATGTGTAACAGGAAGCCTTAGGTAGTTTGTTATGCCCCGGGGCTTTCCACTGGGTGCTGAAAACATTCAGTCAGCACCGCATCTTGCAGAGGAGGGAACCAAAGTAGGTGTGTGTCATTTTCCCACTGTCACTCAGCTAATAAATGGAGGAAAGGGGACTCAAACATGAGAGATTTGAGACAGATTTATAAAATTATTGATAAAACCGCCACAAATCAAAATGGAAACTTGGAATCATTAAAGAAGAGATTTCCCCAGGAGCAAGGACAGCACCTTAGAAGACGTCATGTTCTCAGGTGACAGGAAGTCCAGGAAAGAGAGACTACAGGAAAAGAGGAAATGCATTCAGGGTGCACTGCCCTCAAAGGGGATGGTAGAAAACAGAGAGATTTAGTAGAGTTATTACTAAGGCAGAAAAGACTCAATACAGCTCATTAGGGGGAAAGCTGTAGGATCTCAGAGCACCCTGGAGGGGCACCCCAGAGGAAGACAGGATTTGGGTCTTTAGAGGAGTGGCTCTGAAAATTACTAGCATGTGAAGGTCACGTACAACTGGGACAATCCTGACGGGGTGCCTGGAGAGATCAATGACAATACTCACAACATTACATTATACCATCAGCTGTAGTCTGAGCCTCCAAGAGTCTGCCTAGTTAATTTAAAATTATGACTCTTAGACAGTCCAATGCACTAGGGAACCTATAAAGGGGAAGCCAGCAGAACAAAGAGGGGGCACCTTAGGTGGAATTGCAGGACAAGCGAAGGTGTGCAGTTTCTGTTTTAATAGCACTTGTTTAGGACACAGCGGCGGCTGAACCAGGACCTAGTCAGAAGCAGCACTCGCAGCTAAAGTGCCTGCTCAAGGCCAAAAAGGAGGCGCCTCCCAGGGAGAAACCAGAGGCGGTGAAGACACAACTGCGGGACATGGTAATTTTGCCTGAAATGGTGGGCAGCATGGTTGGCGTCTACAATAGCCAGACCTTCAACCAGGTGGAGATCAAGGCTGAGATGAACGGACCTTACCTGGGCGAGTTCTCCAGCACCTACAAGCCCGTGAAGCACGGCCCGACTGGCATTGGGGCCACCCGCTTGTCCCCCTTCATCTCCCTCAAGCAGCCTGCCTGGGCAAGAAAGGCACACACAGCTCCAGGAAAAATAAAAAATGACCCAGACCCCAGAGCTCACTAAGTGCACATCTCTCCTCAACGAAATCATAGCAATCAGATCTACAGAACATATTAGGCAGCTAATGACATGGGTCAGAATTCAAACACAAAATTAAAGATGGTGTTTAATGCCAGTAAGTATGGCTAATGCTACTTGTTGGTTGAGAAGAAACAAGACAATTTGAAAAAACATTTTAAACACAGAAATCAAGCTGCTTTTTTTTTTGTTAAGGACTGGTAGTAAATAGTAGAGGAAGAAAAAATATTAAGTGTTATTGTTCTTGTAGAAGTTAAAAAAAAAACTGCAGTGAAAACGAACACTATTCTGTTCCTGGAAGACACTGGATTTGAGAAAAGAGATTGAGTTTATGAAAAATACTGTTGATTGAGATTTGTCTTCCCTGGGGAATTTACAAGGAATTTTTTTTTTTGTTATTGGAGGTAGGACATATTCAAATTTGGAGAATCACTTGGTTTTATTTTTATTATTGATGATTCACTATCCTTTAAGCTTGTCATTTGATCTCTATTTTTATAATAAGAAATATAACTGACATAGGATGAAGGGAGGAACTTTGGATGAGGCAAGGTGGGGAAGGGGGCACGGGGGTAGGTAGGAAAGATGGTGGAATGAGACATACATGTATGATCACACAAATGGAGTGACTCTACTTCATGTACAACCAGAGAAGTGAAAAATTCTGCTCCATTTGTGTACGATGAATCAAAGAGCTTTCTACTGTCATGTATAACTGATTAGAACTAATAAAAAAAACTGAGAAAAGAGGAATAGAAAGCTAATTCTGAGCCTTTTAGCCAGGGCTAAAGCCTTGAATTTACTGAATCGCCACACTGTCATGAACCATTTCATATGTTCTGGGGCCAGAGCTGTATTCAGGGGAGCAGTGGTTGATTCTGAAGGAGACACCTCCAGAAGGTGGGAGCCACACCATCCTCACCACCTGCTCCCCTCCTGGCCCACCCTGTAGTGGCTGAGTCCCAGGTGTGAGGGCCATGCAAGCCTTGAGCATCTTAGGGGAAATGACTGTTCCCTGGAGAGCTGCCCTTGATGGGCAGTGTTTCTTCCCCTCATTCTTCTCTCTAGTGGGAAAACTGAGTGCTCTGACTGTGAAGTTGAAGGAAGAGCTAGGCATGCTCAGTTCAGGCCCTCTAAGCTGATTTTCGTGTTTCTCCACCTGTGAGGAAGATGCTTTCCAGTCTCTTGCACAGAATTACAGCACAACTATGAGCAGACTCTTCACTCAGTAGGAGAGTTGGCCACTATAGAACAGGAGGCTCAAGGGTTGGCACACTCATTCCAGAGGGACACTGGCCAGCCACAGCTGCATAGGTGAGCCCATCCCAGCACCAAGGCAGATGTTTGGACTTTAGTTTCTCTGAGCTCAGCATTCCTCTCTCAAGTGTTTTTGATGTTCAATCAGAAAGAATGGCAGTGCTCTTGGACCCTAAAACACCAACAACTCTACCCCCTCTGAACCAGGGGAACACAGCATCATTCATACAGGGTCTTAGCCAAGTGCTCACTTCCGGTGAGCCTGCCGGTTGGCCACTAGGGGACACTGTGGCTCTTCCATCACTCAGTGACTGCAGAGGAGCTGAGAGAAGTGTCTGGCAGGGGGAGTTAATGGAAGGCTCAGGCCTGGTTTCTGCACCATAAACCATACTTGTGGCTGCCAGGAAAACATTGGAAATAAAGGTGTGACCCTAATATTCTATCCTGTGCAGATTTGCTAAAAAGAATAGTGCATATGGAATTTTTAGGTACATTTGCAATGGTTGTCACATAAAGCTCTAGTAACTTAGCACTCCCACAATAGAGTCAAGTCAAAATAGGGGTTTTTGTTTGTTTGTTTGTTTGTTTTTGTTATTTTGTTTCTCATGGACAAGACCAGATTCCTAATAGAGGAACATGTGATTCCCATCCCCTCCCACTCACATGCCTGTGTCTCATGAGCCCACAGAGATCGCTGTTTAGGGGCCAGAGCTGTAGTAGACAAGGATCCTGCCCTGATCCACCCCCACATAGACATGGAGACAGAAGGGCAGGACACATCTCTGTGACAGTGCAATCACAGTCACCCTTCCTGCTGAAGAAGTGGACTCAATGAAAAGAAGTTCTTGTTCAGTGAGCAGACGTAGACCACCAAGGCAGACGGCTCCTGGCTACTGAAGGAGGTGGGAAAGCAACCTCCATGGCCCTCTACCCGGGCTCTGTGGGCCGCCCCCAGGCCTGCATAGGCAGGAGAGAGAAGGAACTGGTGGGACAGCTCTGTGCCCTGAGGTTGGAAAAGTAGCACAGAGACAGTTACCATCACAGCTGATGGAAAGGGCTTTCCTGTATCCCAGGCTGGGCCCACCCTTCTGTGTGATGGGGATTTCATACCAGGGCCCAGAGAGGGACAGTGATTTAGAGGGACCCTCAACCTCTGAAACCCACATCTATACTGAATCATGAGAAAAAAAAATTTCCAGGGTCTGAGGTGTCCAGAGTGATTTATTTCCCCATGAAGTGCCATAGCACTGAGGAAAGAGATGCCAAAGTCATGGGCCGAGCTTCTTACCTGCTCACAGGTCCTGACTTGTGACTCGTCATATCCTGGAGCTCAACCCTCGGTGCAGGTAGAGATTCTCCACCCCTAGATGCCCCGTCCTGATTCAAAGGGACATCTAAGTGTTTATGGTACTATCTTCTCTCCAAGCCCTGGATCCAGCTCTGCTTTCTTCACACAGCCCAGAGCTTCAAGACACCTGGCCAGGGAGACAGGACAAGAGGAAACAAAACACACACACACACACACACACACACACACACACACACACTGGCACAAATATATTCTAGACCAGGGAGGAGTGAGCATGGCTGATTCTCCACCATCATGATAGTTTCACCATTTGACTTCCAAGACAGCTAGTCATGTGTCTTTCTCTCTTTTTATGACAGTTGATCTCACCTGAAAGAGTTAATTTTAGGTATTACTATAGAGTTAGATTTAATCATTGAAATATCTTTGCGAGATGTAAGAAGATTAGAAGTAATATCAGAGTTCTTTATTAAGATGCTTAAGCAAGATCAAATCCTTCATTTATCTCTGATCCAGTTGCACCAGCACCTGAAGGATGAACAGAATGTGAGCCTGCACTGTGCTCTGGGCAGGGACAGGCCATGCAGCACAAGAACACCAGCCTGTAGCTTCACTACAAGTAAGACCTCCACAGTGCCCTTTCTTCCCAGGGCATTTGCTTTGTCCATGTTATGAAGATCAAGTCCAAATGATTCTAGGAAGCTTCTGGGAAAAGTCCTAACTCAATAATAAATTGTTATTCTGTATGTCTGGGAGGTGGGGCTTTTCAGTGAGAGGAATAATGAAGCCATTGAAACTTAGAAAGGAATTAATTGATGCTTGGAATTTAAAGTGGAGATAGCCAGAAGTAGTTTGATATGTGATCCATCAGGGAAGGTGGAGGGGGAGACTGCTTGTCACATGTGACAAGTGTCAACTGATGGAAGCACTTGAAGTTTCTGCATGAGCCAACCACATTCCAGAGCAACTATAATTTAATTCAGTCAATATTCTGAAGAAGATTGATGTTCATATTTGAAAGGAGGTTCTCTGAGCAGTGGCAGGGACAGTGATGTCATCACTGGCAAGCCACCCTCCACTCTGGGAGACAAGAGCCCCACTGTTCATGTTCATGAGGGCCTCCTGTGGGTGAAGCCTCCCTATCTCACCTTGCCATGGTCACCAAGGTACTTTGTTGGGTAGTTCTTTGTTTCCTGGGAGGAGGTAAGTCTCCAAAAATAAGGAATCTGAATTTTCGTTCATCATTACTTATGGTTGCAATTTTGCTCCTTAATCTGTACGCTGATTCTCTCTTTTCAGAACCTACAGATGCTGGCGTCACTCAGACACCCAGGCACAAGGTGACACAGAAAGGACAAACAGTAACTCTGCGATGTGAACCACATTCAAACCATGACACCATTTTCTGGTACAGACAGACTATGGTGCAGGGGCTGGAGCTGCTGGTTTACTCTAACAACAAGCTTCTTGTGGATGATTCAGGGATGCCCAAGGACCGATTCTCGGCTGCCATGCCTGAGGCCTCCTTCTCCACCATGAAGATCCAGCCCACAGCACCTGGGGACTCAGCTGTGTACCTCTGTGCCAGCAGCTTAGCCACAGCGCTGCAGAACCACCCTGTGCAGGTGCAGAAACCTGGTGCTTCCTTCCCCTTCTCTAACTCCCAGCCTCTATCTCCCCAGGCTGCTCCCCTATCTCAGGAAGGACAAGGGTCTGGTATTCTACTGGACCTCTGCAAGGCAAGGACAATGACAATGACGCAGCACACCAGGAAGCTTGTGGTAAGAGGACAGGGGAGGGCGGGTGCTGGCTCCTGAGGCTTCACAGCTTTCTCTCAAGGGGCAGTCCAACCTGGAAGCCAGTGTCACACATGGGGCTCTCGTGTGATTGTGTAGCCTTAAAGCTGTGCAGCCAGGGCACAACCATCGTTATCGTCCCTTTTGCTTTTTATTTTGTCTTCTGCGCCATTTCTTGTTTCTTCTACCTAAAAACTCCCAGCTTCCTTGATGTCTTCCAACATCTAAATAATACTTTGATTTCTAAGTTTTTTCACATCTGTTGATCAGTTCCTCTAACCATCTCAGATATTCACTTCCATTCTCATGTTTTAGACTCAGAATTACAAGGGATTTGAAACCTGAAAAATAGCTCTCAAACATCCTGTTGCCTTCCTCCTTCCTCAGTCTCCTCTTTCCATCTGTATGGCTCCATCCGCCATTCCTCACCTCATTCAGATCGCTGATCAACATCTCCTGCAAACGGCCATGTGTATCATCAAATTCTATACTTAAGAGACCATGTTCTAAGAATATTGTGAAATTCTTGACATATCTTCAAATCACATTTCTCTTCTATGTGTTTTATCTGGGGTGGGGGTTGGGGGTAGAAGGAGTGCCTTCCCTATGTCCCTTTGGATAGCACAAAAAGTTCTTTGTCCTTGTCAAGCAGTATTAACAACTGTAGAGTCTATCTGGAGTTCCGTAAGGCCTCCTATGCATAAACAGTTGTATGCTTTTATTAAAAGAACTTGCTATTTGTCAATGAGTTGCATCCATCTATCATAATGAAACTTCTATCAATAATAACAGCATTAAAAATTATGCACAGAGAATATATGATTTTTAATTTATATGCACATGGAAGTTAAAAGAAAGCAAAATAAGCATATTTATTTATTCACTTGCGGGGAGGGTCAAAGGGAAATAATTTAGAAAATAATGCATGGCATGTGACATTATTTAAGAAAAAAAATAAATCAATAAGTGCCCCCAATTAAGTTCAAATATACTATTACATGTATATGTAAGGATGAAGAAAATAGAAAAATGTATTGCTGACTACCCAGAGAGAGAAGGAATACAGAAATAGTAAAAAGATGATTATCCGTATTTTAGCCTATTTGTTTTTCTTTTTAAAATTAAAACACTGGGCACGGTGGCTCACACTTATAATCCCAGTGGCTTGGGAGGCTGAGGCAGGGGGATCACAATTTCAAAGCCAGCCTCAGCAACCTAGTGAAGCAAGACCCTGTCTCTAAATAAAATATATTAAAAAGGGTATGGGCTGGAGATGTGACTCAGTGGTTAAGTGCTCCTAAGTTCAATCTCTGTAACACACACACACACACACACACACACACACACACAATTGAAACACTCCTCACCACCAAAATTTAAAAGTAAAGCAACAATATACAGGTAATCCAAAAAGAAAAAGAAATTAAAATTCACTATATGTAGTAGAAAAAAGAGATAGCTCATCAGCAGTTCTAGGGAAAGGTAAAGTCATAATGATGTATTGCTCTCTTTTATACCAGGTACAGGCCTCACAATTGGAACTGGGGGTTTAAGACCCCTAAGAAAGAGACGACATAAAGGAGTTAGAATTATATCTCTCACATTAATCCCAGAGCCTCAAAATTTCCACTCTTCATAGACTAAAAGTATTACAACCAAAGACCCAGAAATGCATGTAAGAAACTGAATGTTTGATCAGGCCTTTGGGTGACAGACCAAAAAGATAAATTGGCAGAGAGAAACTGGAACTTCAAGCTGTGCCTCACATGTGTATGAAATGACGTTTCCTACTGCTTGTGTGCAATGGAATCCATATGTCAAAAACTGACCCAAAGATCCAAAAACCATTGAAAACCCTGGAGAGCCCAGTAATAAGAAACTCAATATGATATTTGTAGTGAATTTCTACTTCTAACCAAGATGGATTAACAGGAATTAGATTTAACCTTCTTGTTGAAATTGCTTTAAAAAAATGTGATACGACAGTTTCTAAGACATTGGAAATCAGTCGACAAAAGACAGTGGTCCTGAGAGATGGACAACAACCAAGCTAAGTACTAGGACCATCACATCCCGATACCCGGAGGGAGTTTCCAGGCTGTGGGCTTCAGAGGGAGAAACTAGGCAGACCTTGGTGATCTCACTGAGTTAAGAGTTGGAAATACAAGGAGGTCAAAGCAGCTAAATTTCACAGGCAGAGAACTGGAAAGATGATTGCTATGAAAAGAGAATTCTGAACACGATCAGAGGGTGTCCCTTGACTCTTCAGCTGTGTCTTCGCCAACACACATATGGTCAAACTCTTAGAGGATGGAGAAAAAAACATTCACCACGAAAGAGGAAACAATGTCCGGAGCTCAAGAAGGCCTGGGCTTAACAATTCCTCCCAGCCAGGAAGGGAAACTCGGTAGTTCATGGGGCAATCAGTAGAGTTCTCTGACCGTTTTTGCCTTTGTATTAAAACAAAATAATTTCTTCACTAAACATTTTTCTGGGCCCATCTGGCCCAATTTAAAAGAAATCCCACAGCTGGGGATGGTGGCCCATGCCTATAATCCCAGCAACTGAGGAGATTGATGCAGGAATATCACAAGTCCAAGGTCAATCTCAGTAACTAAGACTCTCAGCAACTTAGTGAGATCCTGTCTTGAAATTTAAAAAAATATATATTAAAAAAAAGGAGTGGTGATGTGACTCAGTAGTTAACTGCCCTAGGCTCAATTCACAGTACAAAAATAGATAGATAGATAGATAGATAGATAGATAGATAGATAGATAGACAGAAGACAGAGAGATAGATAAATGCAAGACCCTCAAAAGATCACTATTTCCAAGTAGCTTAATCAAACCCAAGAACAAATGTCATAAGTATTTACAGGATCCAATAGTATCTACTTAGAGATATCAGTATGAAGTTGCTTTTTAATGTAGAGATATAGGAATAAATTCATATGCTTTTGTATAGTGGGTTAGTGTACATACATAGATTTCATAGCTCTGTCCACTGAGAATACCACTAGCAACAGCTCATTAGTGCCCCAAAATTTTCAAATACTATTCTCTAGGTAAAGTAAATAGATGTGATTCTAGGACTCTGGAAGAGAAAAACACAAGATAAGCCATGTTTCAAGAAGTTGTTAAAAAGAGAAAAGAAAGAAGAAAAAAAAAGAAAGAATGAGGCATCTCAAAGGACAGAGGGATCATTGTGAAAGACTTCCCAGCAACCAAGGCTGGAACAAATTTCAGCATCAAAATAAATAAAGGTAGCACTGGTTTTTAATGCAAAGAATTTAAGAAAATCCACAAATTCATATTAATAATTAAATGATTAAGTAAACAAGGAGACAAGGCAAATCTTTCAGTGAAGAATTTCAAATTAACTATGTAGAAGAAATGGAGGGAGGGGCTGGGGTTGTGCTCAGCAGTAGAGCACTCAGCTAGCATGTGTGAGGCCCTGGGTTCAATTCTCAGCACCACATAAAAATAAAATAAAGGTAATTGTGTCCAACCACAACTAAAAAAATAAATATTAAAAAATAATAAATGGAGGGAAATAAAATATCACCATTAGACACACCACTGTAATACTTGCCACATGTAAGATCCAATGATGAATGGCAGAAATTAGTGGGTGGGGCTTTTAGAAGAAACAGAATATTTGCTCTGTTGCAAAGTGTTATCCTCCAAATATTCATTCATGTGCTGGTTTTAATATATGTCCACCCATTGTTTGATAATAATTTCCTGGATAACAAGGAAAGACTGAGAAGTTGTTACAGATTGCAGATGATTAAGGAGACATCACTCCTAATGCTATGTGGGATCCTGGGTTAGATAATAGGGCAGAAAAAGGAAATTGTTGGAAAATCTGCATCTAGTCTGCAGTTTAGTTGTACTAATGTTAGAGTCTTAGATTTGATAACTCTATCATGATTATGTATGATGTTAACATTGGGGGATGTCCAGCAAAAGGTAGAGAGGACTATGTGCTACCTTTACAACTCATGAGATGGAAGTTCTTCAGCTTTGGGGTCACTGAGTCTGTACCAAGCCAGCTTGTGACATTGCTGTTAATCTTGCTTGCTCCCAGGCTTAGAGCACTCCCAGAGACCTAGAATCAGCTGCAGTGAGAGAATAAATTGGTTGAGTCAGGGATGACCAATGATAAATTCTCGACTGAGAGGACGAAGGGCACATCCTCTCTGAGGACCACCCTGCAGACCTGGAGGACTCTGGCATTCATAGCTGTACCAGCAGCCAGGATGCAGTGCCCAACCATGTACTTCTTGTGCAAACCCACCTCCTTCTCCCCTCTCAACCACATTGGCCCTCAACCTTCCCCCTGTGCCTTCTCCCAGAGGAAAAGAAGAGAGGAAGGACTAGAATGAACTCTTGGAATACAGGGTATTTTAATACAATTTGGATGATATGTGTGTGGAAAGATTCCTCAGGCTCCTCCCACAGACCTGACTCTAGCATTTCTGAGTTTTCAGGTATGTATTAGCTACTCTGGTGTGAAGCTGAGCAGGCTTCTTGCACATCTTGCTGCTTTCAAGGGTTTGTGACTCTGATTGTGGGTCCATACCTTCCAGACTTAACCAAGTCTCCCTGATGGAGCTAAAGTACCAAATCAAAATGCATTGCTGTTGGTTTGCTGGTTGCTCAATGATGTTGACAGCAATAATGACAGTAAAGGTGGTGGAGATAAAAGTAGGGTACATTTTTTTCAAGCTTATGAAAATTCCCAAACATTTGCAAATATCTCATTTTTAGTGAAATATCCATGTTCATATCAGAAATTAAAACTAACTTTCCTGTCTACCTACAGTCTGATTTTTTATTATAAAAAGCATGGCTGGCACTATATGCAGATATGTGTCAATAAATCCAGAACATTTTTAAGGTCCCTTCCAGTCATAGAAATTGAGCTATAAAATTCTTTTGAAACCTACAAAGATAATATATCCTACTTGATTCTACAGTCTTTTTTAAACATCTGAATTCAGATATTCCTTTCTTGTTTTGTCCAGGTTTCTACAAAAAAATCCTGAAATATATTCTAATAATATTTTTCCCCAATTATGACAATTCTTAAGCACCTCAAGTCATTTTTTATTTTATTTCCTTTGTTGACTTGACAAATGGATAATGGGAAAAGGTTACAGGTGAACTTTGATTTTAAAATTTCCAAACTTTTCAAATCCCATGTTTCTTTTCTAATTATCAAAGCTAAAATTTCTAGATGATCTGTACTTTGTCTTTCTGTGTGGAGATGTAATATTGATAGACATATTCCATTTCTATTATATTACCACAAATATGCATCATGCTTTTGATTTGTCTACTACCTACTTTAGGACAACCAACACAAGAATAAATTGATTTTTAAAACCAAGTCACATGATAGACATGAATTTTTATTCAAAATTCCATTTAGGGAACTCAAAACTAGTGCTTTTTTTTATTTTACTGGGTTATATAACTTGACCATAATAAGTAGTCAAATTATCAATTTATTCTTCTAATTTTTATCTCTCATTTACATCTAAAAATATCAGTTATCCAGCCAACCAAGTTCTCAATGGATGAATTTCCTGGATATCAAGTGAAAGTTTAATTAAGTACATTGACATTTTAGATTACAGACATTTAATGTTCTAGCCTACCATAGAGAATATTTTCCTTTGTAGTTCTATTACTTCAGACCTTTCAAAATCTGTACCATTTTTCTAACATAACCTACTTAATTTTCTAAGCTTTATTGAACTGTGATTGGCAGATTAAAATTGTATATATTTAAGGTACAGGTGATGCTTTGATACAAGTATTGGTGTGAAATGATTACAGTTACCATTTTCTTTCTTTTTAGTAAGATGGGGATCTGCTCTGTTAGCAAATTTCAAACATACAATGTAGCATTATTAACTATGGCTACCATGTTGATGACAGAGCTCCAGAACTTTGAAGCTCACTCCAACCATCTACTCCTATTCTGATTGAAAATATACCTTGGTGTAGCAAATAATAGGTATCCTTGGATTAGCTGGAAATAATGGTGAGTACTATCATAAAAGATAGGTGAGTAAAAGAGATAAAGGCTCTAAGTTCTTCACATTTTCTAAGAAGTGATAAAAGCTAAAATTTAACTTAGATGTGAATAATCAAGGATGGAAACTTCTGTATACAGCTGGCTTCCCTGGATCCAGAGTGCTAAGCAGCCTGTGTATGCACGCCTGGTAGAGGAAATCCCATGGGACTTTGGAAGAAATCCTTCCCTCATAAGGAAGATGAATACTACAGGCCCAGCAGGACCCTGGTCCCAGCACAACTCGCTGTGGGATTAGAGAAGGAGGATGGCCCTGTGTCTTCTTTCCTCACACTGCCCTTGGCCTTTACAGTTTTTTTTCAATCAATAAATCAACTTTCTTAATCATCACTCTGGGATGCGAAATGCATCCCAAACCTGGACACATGCGTATGACAATCACGAAGAAGTCCACTAGGCCTTGACCCCACTCTTTGACACATCTAGAAGACATTGCAAGAATGATCTAGATATTTCTAATAAAATTCACAAGATTAGGAATGGGTGGATTTAAGGGTGTACAGTCAGGAATATAGAACACATGAGTAGATCGGCCAGAATGGAGAGCTGTGGGCGATTCATGGTGTCTGTCACTCTCATTGTTCTGAAGTGGTGACCAGCAGTGGGCTCAGCAGGGAACTAACTTATGGGGTGGTAACATGAGGTGCACAGGGTGCTGATCAAGGTGGCCGGGGATGGGGCAGAGTCCCCCTACAAGAGTATGGAGAGCTTTCTGGCATGCCAAAAGGATTGTAAACATGCTGCTCTAACAATGCCCTCATCCCTGGGGGAAGACAGGTAAGACACAGACCATTGGAAGTAACCATGGAAATAGCCACCTCCAACCTCAAATATCCCCCACTGTTTATCATGCTGTGCCCATGCCTGCAAATGTGATTTTATGCCTTTGTCATGACATAACCCCAGATTTTTATGTTTGCCAAGATATCATCAGCTTTATCCAATCTGATATTTAATTAAAATGGTATAATGACTTCTAATTTGAGAATAATTTACCCCTTTATAATAATGAACCTTCTATGAAGCCCCTAGGCCACCAAAAAATCATGGATTTTTACCAGATGCTTAAAATGGATGATTCTTATTCTCCTCTTTAATTAGGCCAGTGGAGAAATGTACAGATTCAGAATAGCTAGTCCAGAAAGTTTCTCACAGTCACCTTCTAAATGTCTCCTTGAGAATATATATATATATATATATATATATACACACACACACGCATATATTCTCTCTCTCTCTCTCT